TACTGTCTAGTGCATTCATTATTCATTGGTATGTACGCACCTGTGACCTTCTGCCAGGCATAGATAAGCGCATTTAATAGGATTTTTAAGCTTTGACGCTAACCTCCAGGAGAGTGATTCGTTATGCCTTCTTGGGCCAATAAACTCGGCGGACATGATGTGGAAAGTCTATATTAAATCCATTGATAGGTCAGCTGCTAAGAAAGTTTTGTGTCGTGCGAAACGATTTTTCTCTCCAGAATCTATCTATACAAATCTATATGTCTACCATTCTTCCAAGCTTTTTTGCCACATATAGTCTGATGCTCCTGCTGTATATTTAGAGATCATACTTATTATAAAACCCAGGTTGTGTGTGTGTGTGTGTGTGTGTCTGTACGTTTATATATTGGATCGGATTTCCTACATTTTTCAACTGATTTCAACAAAACTTCACAGGTGTACGTAAAATTACCTTGCGGTGGTTCTGACAGCGCCAAAAATTGGAAAAACATAGTTGTTTTTGCACAAAATCAATTTGAAAACACGATTAAGTCGCGAGAATGAAAGGAGGACAACTCAGATCGAGTTATACTTATTATAAAACCCAGGTTGTTTGTGTGTGTGTGTGTTCGTTTATATATGGGATCGGATTTCCTACATTTTTCAACCGATTTCAACAAAACTTCACTTTTTTTTGGCAGGTAGTGTTTCTTATTGTCTTGCACACTTTTTTCTTTATTTTTACATTGAGAATGCTTTAAAAATTCCATTTACAAGAAAATTGTTTATAATAAAATTCTATTCAATCGATAGACTCATAACAATTGAAAACAATGTTTTTGTTTGAGTTTGGGTTTGACCAATTTAAAAAAAAAACAAAACAAAAAAACTAATTAAGACATGCGTGTCTGTCAACCTTAAACAATAATCTTTGTCAGTTTTATTTTTCAGTCTTTATGATGGTCGATACTTGATCTATCTCTTACTATTCTATCCCCGGGCAACGCCGGGCTCTACTGCTAGTTCTTGATAAAACCCAAAGAATCAGCAATATTGCCAAGGAAGTGACCGTAGTGAAAATAATAACGTTGTGAAAGGAAAACAAACTCTCTTTATGACACAGTTTTATTGCAGGCCTGAATGCTAAATATTGCCAAATATATTAAGCTAGAATATTCAGCTGAAATTCAGGACAGAAAGAATGAAAAACAAAACAAACATAATCAAAAGCAATTCTAGGTGGTGTAATGGTTAACAAGCTTGTTTCACTAGATCAGTTACTGTTATGGTGAAACACCCCTATTCTATAGTTAATAGACTCTCCCACCTAATATAAGTAGGAGGAGTAAAAGAAACGACGGTCAGTCGATGTCGGACGACCGGCTGGTCGGTTGTACTCTCTGCCTTCGGGCGGGGAGGAACCCGAACGAGGCTACGCCGAAGGGCAGAGTCTCTTTCGGGGAGGTAGACCGACCCTGAACCCGTTTATACGGGTTCAACGGGTATATTTTTGGCCGAGCCTTGTGCCACATGATACCCTCGTGGGGGGGGTGACAAAATACTAGTCGATGTCGGACGACAGTCGAACTCTCTGCCTTCGGACGAGGATATGCCGAAGGGCAGAGTTTCGTCCGGGGAGGTAGACAAACCCGATCCCGTTTATGCGAGGTCTACGGGGATTTTTTGGCCGAGCCTACGGGCTCGGGAACCCCACATTAAATTCGGCCTTGTGCCACATGTGACTGCGTGGAGCAGTTACTAAATAGCGTCGCTGTCGGACGACAGTCGAACTCTATGCCTTCGGGCAGAGAGGAACCCGGACGTGGCTATGCCGAAGGGCAGAGTTTCGTCCGGGGAGGTAGATAGACCCGATCCCGTTTATGCGGGGTCTACGGAGATTTTTTGGCCGAGCCTACGGGCTCGGGAACCCAACATTAAATTCGGCCTTGCGTGGGACAGTTACTAAATAGCGTCGATGTCGGACGACAGTAGTCGACAGTTAGTCGAATACGAAAGTAGTCAGCGACCACAACAAGATTACTCTGCGTAATACCTATTATATCAAGTTCGTAACGTTTTGTACGTCGAACCTATTTTAGGACCGATACAAATACAAGCCTCCACTGCGAAATAACTCCACAACAGTTACAACTGAAAAAAAGTAGTCTGGTCCTCACTGGGTGTCTCATGTATTCGACCTTGTGCCATACCTAAGCTATTTTTTGGAAAAATCAACATAAGGCAAATAAACTAAAATGAAAGTGAAAGTAAAAGAACCTGTTAAAAAATAAACAAAATCCTTTACTATTAAACTGAAATATGAACAAGATTAAATGGAACATTTGAAAGATTTAAAAAAACATAATCTAAAACAATGTCCAAGTATTGTCCGTTTCCAAATAAAAGCTATTAAAAAGTGGTTCCACGCTCCTTAAAACCTCCTGATCAGACGCCTTGCAGTTAGACGTAGTTTATCGTCTTACCCAGGACGCCTCATGCCCATGACTGCTGGCCACTCGTATTCGAGGATACTCGTCTACTGGGGCGGCTAGATAATCTCTATTGCAGACGTTATCTCAGACCCATTTTGTCTTTGTTCAACACTCACAGAGCCCACCTGTGATTTAGACTGCAACTAAGGTAAGTCACAAGGAGATTAGCGTGTTATCTAACATGATCAACAATCTAAACAAGGCCAGCAGGGTCAAACCCTCGTTTACGATCACATATAAATTCGTGCGAGGACAGCCATCGACTGTCCCCAAGGCCCCAATTTCACTCACAATATTTGGGTCAACCTGTGGTATGGGTTTCAGGCTCTTTTCAAAAGTACCCCACGATGGAATCGCCTACTCCAGACTGATAACCTCAAGAGGTTACCTTCCTGACAAATGAAGCATGGCGAGATTTGAACCCAGGTCTCATGTTCTGAAAGTGCATATTCTAACCACTCGGCTACGTTTTCCCTTAAATGGGAAGTATAACTTTCGCAAAAAAGTGAAAACCAAAGAAAGTGAAAGTGAAAGTGAAACCGGACCTGAAAATGAAATTGATTGCATAGAAAAACTAATGACGTTAGTAAAAAAAAAAGAACTAACTAAGTAAAGTGAGAAGCGTACTGTTGTCTTGGAGTTGACCAATGCGAGTTCTTGGGACGAAGTAATGCAATTTTAGCAAATGTAGATTTCTTAGTTGAGCATGTCTGGTCGCTATGACAACAGTAGTAATAATAATGATGTTGATGATAGTTGCATCGGCTTTGAGTCTGACTTTCTTTTCACGCGACTTATTTTTGATTAAGACCATATTAACAGCATTTGGCAAAATTCTGTAATCCTATTCTTCACGATTGTTTCGCAAATATTTAATAATGGGTTATTGACCTTAATCTACCATCGATATCTTACATTGCCTTCCTCGGGTTTTCTCATTCATCCTTTCACCGCCCACGTACCGCCAACTCACAGCATGTGTTTCCTATGTGTCACTATCACCCCACTTTATCATATTAGAATGTCTGCCTACTTTTAAATATTTTACATTGGGAGGAAACAAAAAAAAATTCGTATTATATTTTGTCACTAGCTATTTAATCTGGTGGGGACCCGATCGCTTACACCCGGACTAGGAATAAAAATTACCCGTAGCCCCCGCAACCGTCGGTTGCCCTGGCCTCGGTGCGAGGACCGATCCCTCTCTCTGGTGCAAGGAGAAGGCGAGGCTTCGGGCAGCTGTTCTCAAGAGCTGGGCACTTCTCAGTATAATTTTCCTCGGTTGCGACTTTGTCCTTTGACGGAGTCGCCCATGAGAGCACTCTACCCAAAGACAGAGACGTAAATGTGAGATGATAAATAGATGTGTTACAAACCTCTCCAAGGAGCAATTTATACACTAAATTATCTTTCGTCACTATGTGGATAATCCACGCTCCTGTAAACCCCTAGAAATCTAAATGTTAACAAGCTATCCCAGCAATCTTTTACCACTGTCTAGTGAGTTCATTATCCATTGGTATCGCCGCACTCGTGACCTTGTGCCAGGCATAGATAAGCTTATTTGATAAAGTTTAACCTCCAGGAGAGTGACTCATTGTTCCTTCTTGGATCAACTTACAAGGCTGACATGAGATGGAAAGACTATATTGAATCCATTGCTAGGCCTGCTGCCATGAAAATTGCTTCACTCCGCCGTGCAAGACGATTTTTCTCTCCAGAATCTATCTTACATATATATATATATATATATATATATATATATATATGTCTACCATTCGTCCAAGATTCGAATATTGTTGCCACTTATGGTCTGGTGCTCGTGATATATATTTGGAGATTCTTGATAAAACCCGAAGAATCAGCACTATTATTGGTCCTGACCTGGTCTCTCGGCTTTCAGTTAGAGGTGGAAAGACTATATTGAATCCATTGCTAGGCCTGCTGCCATGAAAATTACTGCACTCCGCCGTGCGAGACGATTTTTTCTCCAGAATCTATTTTACATATATATATATCTACCATTCGTCCAAGATTCGAATATTGTTGCCACTTATGGTCTGGTGCTCGTGATATATATTTGGAGATTCTTGATAAAACCCGAAGAATCAGCAATATTATTGGTCCTGACATGGACTCTCGGCTTCAGTCACTTTCTAACCGCCGTAAAATTGCTTCGCTTTGCTGTTTCTATAAATACTTTCTTGGTAATTGTTCGGATGAGCTCTTCGCTATCGTACCTAGACTTTATCGGCTCAACAATTAATAATTCCGAGTCATTTTCCATTACACAATCCGCCCATCTAAGCTTACAGCGACTGTTATTCCCCAGAAGAGGAGTTCCATAAGCGAGAAGGGCGAGAAAATAAACTGTTAGCTTAGAACTTACTTCCTAGTATTTCCAAGCGGTCACCCATCTGGATACTGACCAGGCTCGACGTTGTTCAACTTCGGTCATCGGACGGGAAATCGGCTCAACAATTAAGAATTCCGAGTCATTTTCTATTACACCTCAGCACATGCAAGCTTACAGCACCTGGTATTCCCAAGCGGTCACTCTTCTCGGTGCTGACCAGGCTCAACGTTGCTTAACTTCCGTGATCATACAGGAAATCGGCTCTCCAATTTATAATTTTGAGCCCTTATTCATTACACCACCAGCACAGCCAGGGTTACAGCGCCTGTTATTCCCAAGCGGTCACCCATTTATGTACTGACCAAGCTAGACCTTGCTTAACTTCGGTCATCGTACTGGAAATTGGCACTCCAATTAATAATTCCGAGTTGTTTTCCATTACACCACCCGCACATCCAAGCTTACAGCGACTGTTATTCCCAAGAAAGGGAGTTCCTCAAGCGAGAAGGGCGAGCAAAGAACCTATTAGCTTAGAACTCACTGCCTAGTATTTACAAGCGGTCACCCATCTCGGTACTGACTAGGCTCGACGTTGCTTAACTTTGGTAATCTCGCAGGAACTAATGTCTTCTTTCATTTGGTATTGATGGCAGAATCATTTTCATTATATTGACTCTCTGTTCCCAAAGCTATGGACTTGTCCTTTCTAACTCCGATATCAAGTATTAATATCTCGTCTGCAAAAATGCGTTTATCATATCACGCCATGCAAGGCAATAAAGCCACTATGACACAAGAGGTGAAAGAATAAAAAAATCAATATTACGAAAAGAGGATAACAGAAGAATGAACAAGAGAACAGTAAATAATGATAAACATTGCATTTAAATTTTTGAAGAAAAAGTTAACTAGAAAAGCATGGAGACGGAAGATGGTTTGACAAGGGAGCAGTGCGAGAAAAAGACACTGTTAGCACAGAACTTACGGCTACATCTAGCCAGCTCAACCGTAAATTGATTAGATCCCGATATCAGTCTCGTGCTTAAATAGAACTTACGATTATATCTAATTGTGAATTGATGAGACCTTGTTACCAATTAGGTTTAAATTCATAAAGTTTCGGTTCTATAGAGGACATTTCATCAGAACAATTACCTTGAAAGTATTTATAGAAAAGGCACATCGAAGCTACATTACATCAGGGGGAAAGTGACTGAAGCCGAGCCGACAGGTCAACATCAATAATATTGCTGATTCTTTCTTGCATTTTATCAAGAACCCCTAGATATACATAAGGAGCACCAGACCATATGTAGCAGCAATATTCAAGGTATGGACGAATGACAGATTTATAAATAAATAAATATAAGATAGATTCAGGAGAGAAAAAATTGTCTAGCACAACAGGATGAACCAACTTTTTTAGCAACAGACCATAGCAATAGATTCAATATAAGATTTCCACTTTATGACAGGGGAGAATGTTAGCTCGAGAAAGCTTAATGAACCAAACTCCTGGAGGTTAGCATCAGCCATACTGATATTCTTTCCTTCTTTTTTCTCCCTGATTGAATTTTTTTAATAAATTATTCTACCCGCCCACCAAGTCACATTAGCTTTGATATCATTTCTCTTTTTATATATGCTTTCGTTATAGTGGTGAGAAAGAGACTGATGCCGAGATGCCAGGTCAGAACTAATAACATTGCAGATTCTTATTTGGATTTTATCAAGAATCAGAAACCCTAGACTGGATATGACAATAATATTCGATACAAGGACAAATGGTAGACTTATACCTGTGTAAGGTAGATTCTGGTAAGAAAAACTGTCTAAAAGGATATTGAAGCTATGTTCTTGCAGTGGGAAAGAGAGTGAAGCTGAGATGCCTGATCAGGACCAATAACATTGCTGATTCTTTGGATTTCGTCAAGAATCTCTAAATATATAGCAGAAGCACAATACAAGATGTAACAGCAATATTTGAAGCATAGGCAAATGGTAAACTTCCAAATATGTAAGATAGATTCGATAGAGAAAAATTATCAAGCATGGCACAATAAACCAATTTTTTTAGCAACAGACCTAGCAATAGATTCAATATAAGATTTCCACTTTATGTCAGGGGAGAATGTTAGCTCGAGAAAGCTCAATGAACCAAACTCCTGGAGGTTAGCATCAGCCATACTGATATTCTTTCCTTCTTTTTTCTTCCTGGTCGCGTTTTTTTTTCTAACTTATTGTACCTCCTTTTCATTTGTGTGTCTTCTTTTTTTAAATGCATTATGGTGTGTGTGTGTCTGTCTTCGTTAAATTCAGTATGGTGTGTAACAAATTTTGTTATTGGCTGACAGCTTGTTCTTGATTTCAACAAAGATGACGTTCCCCTCTCTTATCGCCTCATTTTTGACATGGGTTTATTTATTTGCTTTATAGATATATACAATAGATTCAGGAAAGAAAAAAAAACTGTCTAGCATGATACAGTGAACCGACTTATTTATCAACAGATCTAGCAATAGATTCAATATAATCTTTCCACTTCGTACCTGGGGAGAATATTAGCCCGACAAGGCGCAATGATTATACTCTCATGAAGTTTAGCATCAGACATGCTCACCGGGAGGCAGAAAGAGGTCATTCAGGAAATTGATAGGGAGAAGTTTCGTTTTGAAGGCCTTCTGCCATTCCTTGCCCCATTAAAAAATAATTTCTGGATTCAAATAGCACGCAAAATATTGATAATCGGTAAAAAGAAAGATCAGTCAATCAGGGCCATTACACTTCTTTTATGTGCCTTGTCTCTTCAGGACGTAGGAGATCAAGGCCCTCCACATCGTCCTGTCCTATATAGCTCTTAATATTCTCTTTTCATTATTTCTCCCAAACCCTGTTCCGCCATCCATTTGCTCAAGGCTATCAAGTATGTTACCGCTGCTTTCAGCTGTCCCACTTTCCTCAATCTGTCATGTGAGTAACAGATTTTCCAACCCGTCTTTCTTTATTACGTGCACCAGAAATTTCAACTGCTTCTTCCTGTTGTAAAGTATACGTTTCGTTTCGTTTTTGTTTCCATTATCTCCAAAATCTCGTCATCGCTCACATGTTCAGTCTCAGTATCTTTCTGTAGAACAACATTTCTGTTGCTTTGAGTTTCTTCTTCATCTTTGAGATTGTCCAGCGTCCGCTGCCATACAGGAAGACATATATCACTTAACGGGTCAGTAGTCTTTTCGTTAATCTCAACGAAATTTTGTCGCTTAATACACTGCTTAACTTTTGGGATGTGTCTTTGACCATCGCAATATGTCTTCCCATTTTCCGTCCTCTGTTAGAACACTTCCCAACGAAAAAAGATATACACTATTTACATTATTCGGACTATTGTCCTCATCTTTGTCGCCATATTTATTACAACGTTTCGGCCTTTCAGTATCTGTCTATATTTCTGAGATGAGGTATTATGTACACTATTTACATTATTCGGACTATTGCCCTCATCTTTGTCGCCATATTTATTACAACGTTTCGGCCCTTCAGTATCTGTCTATATTTCTGAGATGAGGTATTATGTACATTATTTACATTATTCGGACTATTGTCCTCATCTTTGTCGCCCTATTTATTACAACGTTTCGGCTCTTCAGTATCTGTCTATATTTCTGAGATGAGGTATTATGTACACTATTTACATTATTCGGACTATTGTCCTCATCTTTGTCGCCATATTTATTACAACGTTTCGGCCCTTCAGTATCTGTCTATATTTCTGAGATGAGGTATTATGTACATTATTTACATTATTCGGACTATTGTCCTCATCTTTGTCGCCCTATTTATTACAACGTTTCGGCCCTTCAGTATCTGTCTATATTTCTGAGATGAGGTATTATGTACACTATTTACATTATTCGGACTATTGTCTTCATCTTTGTCGCCATATTTATTACAGTGTTTCTGCCATTGTACGCTCCGGTCTTCTTCAGGTTGTTGGAATGTCGAACTGAATCCTTTATTTCTCTCACTGAGGTAAAATGTTCTAGTTCCACGTGCCATGTCCTCGAGGATACATGGCACGGTGGATAATGGCTTTCCCTTCTCCCTTGTAGCCCTCAGTAAGTTTCTTCCCTCTGCCAACCCCTTCAGACCAGTTTCTGTCATTCACTTTCTTAAGCCAGCCTGGTATGTCATGCGTTGCTTTCCTTTGTCTTTCCTTCCTTCTATTCGACATGTGGGTATCAGATTCCTTATGTGTCCCAGATACTTCAGCTGCCTCTTCCTGGTGTTAACTATAAGCCTCCTCCTTGTTTGCGACCTCTCCAAGACCTCATCATTGCTCACACATTCCGTCCATATAGTCAGCATCGTTCTGTAGAACCACATCGCCGTTGATCTTCTTCATCTTTTTGGAGACCATCAAACATTCACTGACGTAAAGGAGGAAATATGTCACGTAGCTCAGTACTCTTTATATTGTTACCAAAGAAATCCTCTTGTCTCGTAATACTCTGCTCAGCCTTTGGAATGTGTCCTTGGCCGTCCCAATACGTCTACGGATTTCAGGGTGACACATGTCCTCTGTCAAAACACTTCCCAGACATCTAAACTTCCGCACCTGCTTGATTTTAGTGTCCCCGTCCTGCCAATCGCATTTTAGGCTCATCCTTTTACTGATGACCATGCATTCTGTCTTCTTGTAGTTTATACTTAGTCCCTTCTTCTCGCTCTCCATCGCTACCTTCTGTGGGAGGATTTCTAATTTATTTTCCGTGACTGCTGTCAGTTAAGTCAGTGGTTTGTACAAATTGAAAAGATTGAAAAATTAACCTAAGGAAACACAGATATTGTGAATTTGTACCTAATTATGTATTGCGTAGCCAACAACAACAACAAAAAGAAACTAATTAGTACTCAGCGAACTGGTCCTTGTACCAGACTAGTCGGATCTTATTAAATAAACGGACAGAAAAATGAATTCTAGCGGAAGAAAAAATCCTGTGTGATTGGGTAAAACGAGACGCCGTCGTTTTTTTTTTTTTTTTACAGCAGCGGTAGAAGTCTTTCAGATTTAAATGATTTAAGGTCTCTCTCCATATTGGTTACGAAATCGAATAGCACATAAAATCACGAAAAGGAAGAGGTCTAAGGAAGGGGGAATACTGCGCGGTGACTAGAGAGAAAGAAGCGAATAAGAAGGAGGAGGAATACATGATTATAAAAGAAGGATAAAAAAAGATAAAGAACACACACACACAC